AATCCAAGCTCTAGAGAGAGGGGCACTCAAGGGTCTGTGAGACTTTGTTTTTTTTTTTTAAAGATTTTATTTATTTATTCACGAAAGACAGAGAGAGAGAGAGAGAGAGAGAGAGAGGCAGAGGGAGAAGCAGGCTCCCAAGGAGCAGGGAGCCCGATGCGGGACTCGATCCCAGGACCCTGGGATCATGACCTGAGCTGAAGGCAGACGCTTAACCATCTGAGCCACCCAGGCGCCCTCTGTGTGACTTTGTTACAGGGCACCTTTATCTCCTTAATTCTCCATCTCGTCTCTCCACAAATTCTGTTCTCCAACACCATGGGACTTCTTCATGTCTGCTGCTTTCTTTCAGACAGCAATTTTTCTCCCTACCACCTTCTCCCTTGGGGATCTCATACTCTCCGAGAGCTTTAATACACAAGATCACCTCTCTGGCCAGGATTCCCATGCTTCACTCATTCCTGAACTCTGGCTTCCAAATGCCTACTGGATCTCCCCTGGATGACCAAAACAGATTTTAAAATGCCACATGTGAAACTGAACTGATCACCGTATTTTCTAGTCCATAAACTGCCTTCTCCGCTCCCTTGAATGGTACCAGCATCTCAGACACTGAGGCCTGTGACTTGGAAGGTGATTCTTTGTTGCCTTTCACACTCAGTTCATCGCCAAGTCACCCCCTGATTTCTTGCATCTGTTTTCTTTTTGTCAGGGACTAGAGCTACAACTTCTGTTCACGGTCTTTCTCTTCTAATCTGGTTTATGTGCTGCTACCACAGCAACCATTCTAAATGGATACTCTGCCATTCCATTGTTCAAGAATGTCAGTGCATCTCTATTGTCAGATGAAGTTCACTAGTCTTAGCTTGATGTCAAAGATCTTCTGTTATGTCAACTAAACTTAATTTTTATTTTTTTATTTTTTTATTTTTTATTTTTTTTTGAAGATTTTATTTATTTGAGAGAGAGAATGAGAGATAGAGAGCACGAGAGGGAAGAGGGTCAGAGGGAGAAGCAGACTCCCTGCTGAGCAGGGAGCCCGATGCGGGACTCGATCCCGGGACTCCAGGATCATGACCTGAGCCGAAGGCAGTCGCTTAACCAACTGAGCCACCCAGGAGCCCTAAACTTAATTTTTAGACATGGATCCCACCTCCCTCCTTTCATGGAACATATGCTATGGCTAAACCAAACTCCTCAAGATATGCTAACTGTGCCTTCCACTTTCCACCACAAAGCAGCTCATTCTGTCCCTTTGCTTGGAATGACCATTCGCCCCTTGACACGTGTCCAGTTTCCAAGTGTTCTTCAAGAATAAGCACGCCTTTTTATGTTGTTAATTAAGCCTTCCCTCGATGTACTAAGTGGAAGGAGACTGCCCTGTCCTTGAACTTTGACACTATTTCCTGTTTCTACACTTCAGCATGTTTACAAGTTCCTAAGTTGTTTTCTCCTCTCCCGGAATTATTTACCTCTGAATTTCTCTACGTCATTTAGTGTGAGAAAAAAGAGACAGTCTCCTAAAGAGTTTAGCATTGGTAGGACCGAAAAGTACTCATGTAAGTAACTGCAATACACTTAAGGATGAATGCTGAATGGGTAGGATGACTGAAAGGGTAGGAAAATTATTTTAATCGTATCTCTCTGTGGTAGGGTGAAGACACTGTCATTTGCATAATACCACATATCTGGATGAAAATGGAACACTTCTGTCACCAACACTATTTGTCCAAAGTCCAGATGTCAAGTATTGCTTAGTCAAATGATCTGGGTATCTTTATATGATAAAAACCCATAAGTGAGAGACTTTACCATAGAAACAACACAGGAGGAGAAATATACATTTTGAGGGGGAACCTTAGTGGAAATTAGTTTATTATCTCAAATTGAAAGTACTTTATTTCTTAAAAAATTTAAAAAGATTTCATTTATTTATTTATTTATTTGAGAGAGAGAGACAGCAAGTGAGCACAAGCAGGGGAGGAGTGGTAGAGGGAGAGGGAGAAGCAGGCTTCTCCTCCCCTGCTGAGCTGGGAGCCCAACACGGGGCTCGATCCCAGGACCCTGGGATCATGACATGAGCTGAAGGTAGACGCTTAACCGACTGAGCCACCCAGGTGCCCCAAATTGAAAGTATTTTAGATACTTGTCCCACTTCATTAAGAACTTACTAGCTGTAACACAAAGTTGACTTTGTCTAGTTCTGTTCATTTTGTCTTGTGGGTGGGGTAGATCTATAAAAACTTCACCTTTTGTTTATTTATTTTTGTAAAGATTTTATTTATTTATTTGACAGAGAGAGAGAGAGAGAGAGAGAGCGCACACGTAGGAAAAGAGGCGGGCAGAGGGAGAGGGAGAAGCAAGCTCCCAGCTGAGCAGGGAGCTCGATGTGGAGCTCAATCCCAGGACCCTGGGATTATGACCTGAGCTGAAGGCAGACTTTTAACTGACTGAGCCACCCAGGTGCCCCAAAACTTCACTTTTTATTCTGGTGGAGTTGGGGATTGAATGATTGTCTCTTTTTGCTTAAAGAAACTTTTACTGCTATGTACAGTTTATCTTTATGATTTTCTATTTAATCCCCTAAAATAATCATTGCTACAAGTTTCTCACACATAGCATCCATGACTTAATTTTGACAATCTTCGGTTTTGATTGATGAAACTCGAGTCAGTATTGCGTTCACCTTTTTACATTAGATAATGGTCTGGAATCTTCAAAATAGACATATATTAGATTGTTTTTTGTACTAGACTGGATTGAATGGTTTCCACCTCGGGTTTTTTTTTAAAGATTTTATTTATTTATTTGACAGAGAGAGATACAGCGAGAGGAGGAACACAAGCAGGGGGAGTGGGAGAGGGAGAAACAGGCTTCCTGTGGAGCAGGGAGCCTGATAAAGGGCTCGATCCCAGGACCCTGGGATCATGACCTGAGCCGAAGGCAGACGCTTAACGACTGAGCCACCCAGGTGCCCCCCACCTTGAGTTTCTAATTTAAGCATTACATTAGCAAGATTCATATAAAAATCTGGGTAAGCCTCTAACAAGACAGTGAAACTTTGGGAGATCTACAGGCCAACTCGGACAAAGAATAAACAGCAGCTGCTAATACCACTGCAGAAGCATCACAAAAATCTCTCCTTAGGGTGACACATCTATTTATGCTACAGACTTATTGGTGTTCACTGGATTCCAGCTCATAACCTGAAGCCCTGAGTGTTCATTAGAAGACAATGCAATCCTTGCATAATCAGTAAGCCACTGTTTGTTGAACATTTTCATGAGGTTCATGTCACTTACCAAGAGGGTTGCAGTTATGGACCAAGTTTCTCATGTTCGTTTGTTTGCAGAACAGACCTTATATCTTAATCCAAACCATTTATGAGAAGTCTCTAAAGCTGCAGCCAGCCCTCTGGGCCACTTCATCATTTGATAAAGATAGTTGCAAATGTCCTATATGTTGATGCTCTATGAAATTAATTTTAAATGTTCAATAGAAATTTATAGTAAAGTTTTAATACCTTGAGACTTGGTGTGAAAAGAGGTATTTGAAAAGGCATGATGAGTGTTTCCCAATTTGAAATGCTCAGCTGAGCTCAAGTTGCTTTAAACACAGCGTGTCGCAGGTATGCCCACTGAATTGCAACTTACGCTGTCTCTCCTAGATGGGTCGTATGCATTGGAACATGTTCTGCTCTGGATCTGAATTCTGTTTCCCATCAGGACTGTAGTACGCCCTTGGGCCTTCTTCCAATTTCCTTGAGCCTCAACCACCACCTCCTTACTACTCCACCTAGGTTGGACTAGTCACTGAAAGGGGTCCTGTTTTAATCCAGACAGAACACAGATATGGCTCTCCTTACTTGAGTATCACCACTGTTTTACCTGTATACCTGAACTCCATCCAACTCCTCCCTTCTCCCCTTAGGGTCAGATACCCAGGATATCAAAGGCAGACTAGAATAGATATCCTTTCTTTGAAATGTCCTGTGACTGCTGGCACCATACCATCCAGCCAAGGTGGCCAGCTGTATGGCTTTCCTTACTGTATAAAGACACCCAGTTTTTAGCTAATCTTGCCATCTTAGTTTGTTCAGTATTCCTTGTTCTATACCCATTGAGCTCTCTAGCATCTGACTTTGGGTGTTTATGATAAAATGTTAGTTCTTTCCATTTTACCATTTTTTTTATTTATTTGACAGAGAGACACAGTGAGAGAGGGAACACAAGCAGGGGGAGTGGGAGAGGGAGAAGCAGGCCCCCTACTGAGCAGGGAGCCCAATGTGGGGCTCGATCCCAGGACCCTGGGATCATGACCCGAGCCGAAGGTAGTTGCTTAACCGAATGAGCCACCCAGGTATCCATTTTACTATTTTTTAATGGCAAAAAAAAAAAAAAAAAAGATTCCTTGCAATTTAAATGTGGATCCTAGGGCGCCTGGGTGGCTTAGTTAGTTAAGCGACTGCCTTCGGCTCAGGTCATGATCCTGGAGTTCCCTGGATCGAGTCCCACATCGGGCTCCCTTCTCAGCGGGGAGTCTGCTTCTCCCTCTGACCCTCTTCCCTCTCGTGCTCTCTATCTCTCATTCTCTCTCTCTCAAATAAATAAATAAAATCTTTAAAAAATAAATAAATAAATGTGGATCCTACTATTTATTTCCATTAATTCCCAAGAGAAGTAATTAATCAGTTTTTGAAGTCTGCTTTGCGTGAAAATACTGTGAGTCTATTCCTTGATGGCCATTCTGTCAGATGCATAAATAACACAAAAAATACTTACTAATAGGTATTTCCAGCAGAAAGACTTTCTCTAGAAAAAACACCCCCTTAAAACCCCTCATTCTTTTTGTTTCATTCAACAAAACAAAATATTTAATTTAGCTCTTGGTCTCTAGAGATGGCTGAGAGAATATTCTGTTAGATGAAAGAACATCAACATACTACAGTGTAAGACACAATATATGAAGTTATGATGGACAAGAGTAAAAAGAAGCATTACCTTAGGATCATGTATTCCAGAAAGCTCTTCATAGATCTTCTCACCTACCATGACAGCAGCCAAGTTCGCCGTGTATGTAGAAAGGCAAAACATACAGAAAATGGCCCAAAGGTTCATTAGAAACCTGCCAGTCCAGCATTTTGGGGGTTTGATGGCTGCTGTTCTACCAAACAAGAGGGCATAACAGACATTCAAGGCTGAAGAAAAGGAGAAGACTTTACTTCTATTCCGTCCCTTGGGAGTCATACCGAAGGGGCTCTTCCATTCATACAGAGTGAGGAAGATGGCAGTGATGTGCAGAGCCACAAAAATCCCCAGCCACATTGTCCAATGGAGTGGCCACATGAAGGCTCCAATGGGAGCTGCTGTGTCTCGGGTCCTCACTAAGATGCCCAAGCTGGTGGAAAAGAAAGGACTGGTGAAATCTATCACTTGGCTTCGTGCAGTATTGATGCTGAAGGAAGTGACTGCCAGGTGGGCTGACCCACTCAGGAGATCACCCACCAGCCCAGTCCAGTGCCCATTTTTCCAGGCTCCATACTTGCCATCCCCAACAATATAGAGGTCAAAGTCAAAGTTCATGTCTTCCGCTAGCTTTTCCAGCAGATCAATGCAATATCCATAGCAGCACTTCTTGAATTTGATGGGCACTGTATCATTACTGCTATGGAGGCTGTTAAAAAGGCTGTCCAACATGGAGGAGTCATTAGTCATGGGGTTTAGACAGAGTTGGCCAGCAGGGCACAAGCCTTCATCATCTACCTCCCGTGTGAAGACAAATGGATGCTCAATCAGGGTAACCACTCTCAAGTGTAGTTTACTCGGGTATTGGAAGTGGGTTTTGTGCCTCTGGGTCTGCTCTGGCCATATTCCATAGTCCATGACAATCTTGCCCCCTTGCCATCTGCCCAAACGGGTCCACATTGGCTTTCCCATGGGGTCATGTTGCAGATTCCAGATGAAAAAGTTGTTTTCTGAGCTGATGATAGTGGAACCTTTTACTTTGATGGAACCACTGAGGCCTCTGAAGGTGGTGTTGGCTAGAAACCTGGCAAAGAGGAGCAAAGGCAAAAAGTAAGGAAAAGAGGTGAGGCCAAAGACAGGAAGGAGGCTCATCTCTGCCTTAATAAAAAGAAACTCTAAATTTTTTTAAAGGCACTGCCTATAATTTCCTCCAGAATTAATAAGCTGGACTCTTCCTAAGAGAAGAGTCTTATTTCATTGAGCAAATGAGATCTTATCCTCCGGTCTAACATCTGGGCTAGGTGCGTGACTCTTACTCCAAATCTCTTTATTCCTAGTTAAGGGATGTGTTGTTTCCCGTTGTAAACTGTTAATTATATATTCCCACAACTTTCCAAGCTATGGAGGTTCTCAGCATCTTTAACATGTTTCATTTCTACTGTTCACTCTATTCAATTGCAACGAAATCAGCTCAATAAATACCGTTTTTGGTGCAAGTTTTAGTGAGTATGCCTATCCTTTTATAATTGCTTAAAAACTGCATTCATAATTCCAGAAAATAGCCTAACCTTACTTTCAATGTTTCTCTTTCCACAGTGGCAACAATCAACACATCTCTCCCCATAAGGCCAGTCAAAGTGGCCTCCTGGATATCATCCACGGAACAAAGAAAAAGATGAGAAATAGACTTGCCGATCTCAGGATAACCTCAGGCTACCCTCCCTCTAAGTCATTCGAGAAAAACAATTGGCTCTGGCTCTGGAGAGAGTTTCTCTGCCCAAGTCAAAGAAAGGAAAATTACCAACTGAATGATATACTGATTCCTAACCTAGGGAACCTGGCACTCTCAAATATATGTTCTGATATGGGCAAGGCAGGAAAATGCTTGGTCAGTGTCTGGGAAGATAAGGCAATAAGAAGTAACATATAAACTTGTGGTACTTTTTTACTCTTAATTATGGCCTGTGCCCGAAGAAAAGCCTACACTCTGACATCAGACACACCTCTGTTTGGATTTCGGTCCAGCCACCTTCTAGCATTGTCCTTGGTTTTGTCTTCAGCAAAATGGGGAAAAATGATACTGCCTCCATTACAATGGCTGGAAATAATACATATAAAGTATATACCCTACCTTTTGACCTAGAACAGATGTTTCACATATGGTACCTATTATTCAATGTCATTCAAATTTTTTCAATCAAGGCTGTCCCCAGGTCACTTTTCCCTAATCTCTAACAGAACTTCTCTAGTTGGAGACGCCAAGTATTGCATTACAAGAAACTCATAGACGGTACTCAAGACACATTTTAAATTAAAAGGAATTACAATGGAATGTGGAACGTAACATAGAAGTTTTTTTGAGGAATCAGGTGATACAAGTCTAGACTCTCAGCAAAACACATTCATCCATTGCCTGCCACCAACATTACTCAGTAATTTACAAATGCAAACACAAGTAGTAAGAAGTTATACTGCCACAGAAGGGACATAGAAAAATCAAAATGTGTTAAGAATGTACTAATTTTCATTAGAGATATAAATGTAAATCACATTTGAAGATGTTCCTATCACTAAATGTAATGAAACTGCTCATTTTGGTAGATTGCATGTAATGGTAATTATTCATGTTAGCATTCCCCAGTGGGACTCTTTTACCACTTAAAATGAATTTTATTTTGCAACAAGTAACGAAGTCTCAGTTATCTTAGATTTTAAAATAGTTTTATGCTTCTTTAGAGAAGTAGGGAACCAAATCATTAAAATATACAGATTAATCAATTGATAAATTACCTAGGTACTATAAAGGAAGAGTGACTACAACTGTGTTTCTAATGAGCAATCTACAATTAGATGTGTTCTCTCTCTCATAGATACAGACACACAGACACAGACACACACACACAGACACACAGACACACAGACACAGACACACAGACACAGACACACACACACACACACACAGCCTAGGGAACAAAATGGTTTGTAGTACATAGGTTAATTTCATTTGGTCAATTTGATGATCAGTAAAGTTGGAGTTGTAGAAAGAGAAGCCCTTCACTATTTTAAGAATATTTGGGACTTACTTATTATAGATTTCTAGCTGGATGGACCGTTGAAGGACTACCACTGAAAAAATATATACTCGAATCATCTCAGAAATCTTTTGAGAGACTACGTAACTCCTTCATTCCAGTAAAATTTATTCATTATTGATGTTTAATAACATCCAAGATGGTGGTGACTGAAGGACAATGCTCAGTTGTCTGAGGCATCCATTTGTCACAGAAATGCAAATCTACCAGGATCTAAATGTCTTCAGTGTTCCCACACCAGAAAACCCAGTGCCTGTTTCACTATGCAACTGGCACCAAGAAATTGGGTCTCAGAGAATCCCCATTTATGACAGATGATTTCAGTCTATTTTATTTTCAGTTTTACAGAGGGTAAAGTAAATCTCATTGATAGCTTTTAGTTATAGTCCCCTTCACTATGTATTCTTTGTAACGTGATGACAATGCAAAAGCAAAGTTTAAATGCCCACTGATTAAATGGTTGAAATGTCACTTTTGCTCTAATCAGTTTCTATCATGGTCCTTTTTATTCTGCCTGGATTCTTCTTAGATAAACAAGAAAACGAAAAATCAGGAATAAATTTATTGACAGGAGAAACTGTTGCAAATACCGTTCTTAACCTTAGAGTTACAGAGATGAAAGACACACTCATTGTTCTCAAGAACATGAAAGTCTTCCGATGCGAAGAAAGAAAAGTAAAGAGGCAATTTGAGGGTCATGATAGAGGTAAATCTGGGTGCCACTGGGACAGAGACCAAGGGCTCCTGCACATTCTACTGCAGACATGACAGGGAAGCTGCTTAGAGAAGGTGCCAGAGTCGAGTGTATATGAAAAAATAGCTGGGAAGAGAAGCTGGGGACTGATACTATCATCCCAGGGAGCCGTGTGTGCCAAAGCCAGAGATGGAGCGCAGGGTGATATGTGGTGAGAAATAAGATGGAAGACAAAGGTGGGAAATGAATTTCAAAAGGTCTGAGTTTATGATGAACGTAATGGGGAGCCACTGAGGGGATTTTATCTGGGGAAGGACAGGACCATCAGATTTGATTTTAAAAAGGTTTTTCCCCTGTTAGCTATATGGAAAATGGTTTGGAAGGAGGAGGGGGCTGAGCACACTTTCATATGTGAAGAATAATACTCCTTCCCTCCTTCTCTCTCTGCTTGTTTCATAAGGGGCTTAAGGTAGCAAGAGCTAAGGTAATAGCTGTGTAAGCGGAGAAATGATGGCATCATCAGGAGATAGATAGTCTTCAAAAAGAATAGTAGTCATTTTAAGGCACCAAATGCAGAGGGCTGCATTTTGTCCACAAACCACACTAAGGATGTGTGAAACTCAGCTTGACGGAAGGTCACATTAAGTCCCGGAGTATTTAGCTGAATATCAGCTCAGTGTAAGCCCATAGAGCAATGTGGGTATAAAAAAGGAGAAAAGCGATCTTAAATTCTTTTAATAGAAATTTAGAGCCTGGGTTACGGGGACCAATAATATCACTACACTCTCTGTTGATCACACTACAGCTCTAGCCTAGAAATGAATTCTAAATAAACCTTCCAGCTTCAAGAATGTTATGAGGAAAGGTAAGGAGGTGGAAAATATAACAAGGGGTAGGAAGCACAAAAATCTGATTGCAGAGCAGGGTAGAAAAACAGGAGAAAATAATATAGGAAAAGCAGATTGCAAGGAGACTGTAGAGGCTTTGCATGTCCATTTTATGAGATTGGATTTTATTTAATGGGAAAAGGGGAGTCATGAAGATTTCTGAGCAGAGTAACGGTATAGGCAGAGGTCTGCATTAGTAATACTGATCTGGAAACAGGTACTCTGTGTACATAGGAAGGAAGAGATGGTGGCCAGGAGACCACTTAGAAGAATATTACAATAGCTTTGTCATGTGTGATAAGGGCTTGGATCTCTCCCTGAGTAAGAGCCTAGTTTAGCACCATGCCTTTCCTGTCTAGTGTTTAACAAAGCAGTCAGGTATCTATGTTTTTTATCAGCACACCTCCCAAGATACCACTCTGCTCAAAAGAATGAAGCTCATTAGTTAATTTGCATTGAGGTAACTTATCACTTTAGTAAAAGCTCCCAGTTATCTCGCTAATTAAGAATATGTGTCGATTTGTATAGGAGCCAAGATAAAATGTGTACTTTGCAAATTATATAAAAACTGTTTTTGAGACAGTTCACAGTATAAGCAAGATCAGTGTTTAATACATTTAAGATATATTTTAGAAGCCACATTTGCACACAAAACTTGACATGCTAATTAAAGAATTTTCTTATTCATTAAAACAAATGAACAAAGATGTTAAAAAAACAACACGTCATCCATTCAATCATTGATTCATTCAACAGTACTGTGTGCCAGGCACTGTGCTAGGGGCTAGGGGTTAGGGGCCATAGTAATGAACAAAACAGACAATCTATGCAGCTTATATTCAACTGAAGGAGACAGAATAAATGTGATAAATAGGTACTATGTATGGGATATTAGAGCTGCTAAGTGCAAAGGAGGAAAAATAGAGCACAGTAAGGAGATGAGATGTGTCTGGATTGGCAACAGTGGGGTGAAATTTTAAACTAGAGAGGCCAGCAAAGAAGGAGGTATTTTCGTAAAGAGCAGAAGAAAGGGAAGGAGCTAGCCAGAAGGAGGAGATCTAGATAGAACATTCCCTGTAGAGGGAGCACCGAGTCCAGCTTTCTTAAAGTGGGGTCGTGTCTTTTGCCTGAGGAACACCTATAGGAGTGAGGGGCATAAGAGTTTAAGACAAAGTCAGAGAAAATGTATGGGTAGTGGGAGTTGGGGAAATAGCATGTTGTGGGTCATTGTAAGGACTTCGTTTCTTCTCTGCATAAGGTGGAAAGCCATAGGTGGATTTTGAGAGGAGAAGCAATATGACATGACTTACATTTTAACAGGATCGCCACAGTGCTGTGTTGAGAATGAACTGAAGAAAAGAGCAGCAGCAGAAAGACCAGTTAGGGGGCTGTTTCCAACACTCAGACAAAA